GAGAGAGAGAGAGAGAGAGAGAGAGAGAGAGAGAGAGAGAGAGAGCAGAGCGTGTGTTTCCAAATGTTATCACAGTAGCAGTTTTGCCTTTTTTGAAGACGGCGACTGTGATCTTTTAAAAAAAGTTTTGTGGACCTGGGCTCAGAGGTTACCCAATAATGTATAGAACAACAAAAAGACAACGCCTTACACATGGAGAAATTTACCTCCCTCTATCCAGGCGTCCTCTGATCTGTCTTTGATTTTGACTTTTTGAAGTGACCTCAAAGCTTCCACATGATCCCCCATGGCATTGAGGACCTTGGCCTTGAGAATCCACCACCGCGGACGACAACTGGGCCAGTCATCTGGACCGATCAACTCCAGGGCGTCGTCTACGAGTATGAGACTGTCGCAGTAGTTCCCTTTCTTCAAAATCTCTACCGCTTCATCATAAAGTCTCTGCACATTCTCTTCAACGTTATTTCCTGCTGTTTTTGAGGCCACCACGTGTCCCATGACGTTTCCGTCATTTGCAACCGAGCTATCAGAAACAAGATTTGTACGTGAACTACTGCCGACGCTAGTGGGAGTATCAATGCTGCCCTCACTACCGTTACATTCTGTCTTCTGTACTTCAGCCTTTTCTTTCATGGCAGTTGATTCAGTAACTTCATTCGCGGCTTGCTCAAGTTCAGTGGTATCTCGGTTCGTTCGATTTTTTCCCCCTATTGCTTTAGGCGGCGAGTCGGACTGTTTGAAATCAATGGAGAGTCCCCATCTTTTCATCAGCTCGATTTCCATGGCCTGGATGACGTCATCTCCAGGTAGGAAGCCTAGACAGTCGAAGGACATCATCTGGGCGAGCCCCCCACCCTCGCACTTGGTCTTGGAGGACATTGGATTTCAGTTGACGAGCGGGAAAAGTCCTAAAACAAGGGGGAAATAAACAAAACAAAGGCAGTTATATATATATATATATATATATATATAGGCACTGCAGTTTTCAACTCATCAACAAACTCATGGATCCATTCATTTACTCACTATGCCTATGTCGTCAATAGCCAACATGTTCTAAAGGAAATCACACACCTACGTATGGGTGGATTGGTAGAGATATGTACATGTATTCACTTCCTCCCATTTGCTATACCTATACTCTGTTCGATTACAGTGTCTTTGTGACACACACTCGATTTCCTTCCTACTCCTGTACCACCGTGTCTCTCTGCTGAGTAAGGATTTCAATAATTAGTTTGTTGGTAGTGTCCGACCATAGACCCCAGCCCCAATCTCCCCGACCCCTCCCCCCTCTGTCTCTCTCTG